GGCTGTGAAAGTTTTTAAGTCTTGATTAGCATTGACATAAGTAGACTGAATTAAAGCAGATTGCCCTCCACCAATTTGGGCCTGATCAGCTGAAAGGTGGGGGGGAGAGAGGGGAGGGGGGGAAGAGCAAATATAGTACAAATATTGTATGTGAAGAATCTGGGTGAAGGGGTATACAGAATGTGACTTACATCCTTCACAATTTCTCTGTGTGCCCCGAATGAATTTAAAATAAAGTTAACCCCGAAAGGGGGGGAGGTGAAAACGAACAGATTCCAAATTTGGTTTCTCTCATGTAATGCCTGAGTGTAGAACCCAGGACCAAGTACCGCTCACTGGAGGCCAGAAACCACCTCGGGTCAGGAAGGAGTTACAGTCCCTCTGCGTACTCAACATCAGACTTCGTGTTTCCTTAGGGAAAATCTGGACGTTTAAACCAGGCTGAGGGCTTCCTTGAAGCTCTTTGCACTCATGTCACCCCCAAGAGGGCAGATTCAAAACCCGGCTGTACAGTTGGTAGCCCATGTGGCCCTGGGGCAGCCCTTTGAGTTTTCCTGGCCTCAGTTTCCTTATCTGGAGAAGGCGAGGGATAATGATAGCACACCTCTCGTGAGTCTGTGTGAGGAGCAGAGGCGGTGCCCACACAGGGACTGATGCTGCCTGTGACCAGCCAGCTGTCCTGTGTTCCCCTGGGCTGGAGAGGTCACAGGACCCAAGTTGAACCCGTCGGCGTGCCTAGCATTTGCTGGCTGATGGCGCTCAGTCACTTGTCCCCTTCCAACATGATTATTACCTCATCCGTAAATGTGGACAAAGCGTGGCCTTCCACCAGCAGGGTCGGTGAGTTGGATGGTGACAGGGATGACATAGCCGGTGCTGGGCACACGAAGTAAGCCCTCACGCACGGAAGGGTCGGGAGAAACAATAGGTTTACCCACCAAGGATGGCTACTAGCATCAAAAAAAAAAAAACCCTGGGCGCCTGGGTGGCTCAGTGGGTTAAGTGTCGACTCTGCTGATTTGGCTCAGCTCCATGATCTCATGGTTTGTGGGTTCCAGCCCCACATCAGGCTCGGTGCTGACACTTGGGAGCCTGGGATTCTCTCTCTCGCGCTCCCTCTCTCTCTCTGCCCTTCCCCTGTTCTCTCTCTCCATAAATAAATAAGCATTTTTACAAAGTTATTTTTTTAAGAAGGAAAAAACCGAAAGACACAAAATGGCAAGTGTTGTTGGCGAGTGCAATGGGAACCTTGTGCTTGCCTCTGTTGGTGCTTAGTGTAAGACGGGTGAAGCTGCAGCTCCCCGAAAAATTAAAGACAGGAACCCCGTATGTCATTGTCGGTCAGCCCAGGCCGCCAGAAGAAAATGCCACAGGCTGGGTGGTTTAAAGGACAGACGTTGATCTCGCCATCCTGGAGGCTGGAAGCCTGAGACCGGGGTGCCGGCGTGGCCGGGTCCTGGCGAGGGGTCTCCTAACTGTAGATGGCTTGCTCTTTCATGAGATGCAGCTCGTGTTCTTTCCTCCACTTGAAGGCAGGGGAGGAAACAGAACCCTGTTTCTTCCTCTGTTTTGGAACGTTCTTATTTATTTTTGAGAAAGAGAGAGAGACAGAGCGTGAGCAGGGGAGGGGCAGAGAGAGAGGGAGACACAGAATCTGAAGCAGGCTCCAGGCTCCGAGCTGTCAGCACAGAGCCTGACGCGGGGCTCGAACCCGCGAACTGTGAGGTCAGGACCTGAGCCGGTCTTGACGACTAACCGACTGAGCCCCCCCAGGCGCCCCCGTTTCTTCCTCTTTCTCTATAAACGTCCACCAGTCCTGTCTGATGAGGATCCCACCCCCATGGCCCCATTTAACCTTGAGTACCCCCTTTTTAGGTATGCCACGTCTCAAATACGTTCTCCTTGGGGGTGAGAGATTCAACACATGACCTGGGATGGGGGGTGAGCACAGTTCAGTCATAGCACCAATGATCCAGCAAGTTCACTTCTGGGTGTATATTGGAAAGAACTGAAAGCAGGTCTCAGGGATAGTGGCTCACCTGCCCTCGGGGCAGCTTTATTCACAACGACCCAGAGGTAGAAGCTGCCCCAGGATTCCTCCGCGGCCCAACCGATACATCAAAGGCAACGTATACACACAATGGAATCTTCTTCCGCCCTGACAGGGAAGGAAGCTTGACATAGGCTACCTCGGGGATGAACCTTGAGGACCTCATGCCAAGTGATAAAAAGCCAGTCTTGAAAGGACAAATACGGTACCACAGTATCTAGAACAGTCACAATCGTGGAGACAGGAAGTACAGTGGGGGTTGCCAGGGCCCGAACCGACTTCGGTTCAGGTCATGATCTCGGGGTTCACGGGTTCGAGCCCCACGTCCGGCTCTGTGCTGACAGCTGGGAGCCTGGAGCCTGCCTCGGATTCTGTATCTCCCTCTCTCTCTCTCTCTCTCTGCCCCTCTCCCGCTCATGCTTGCTCTCTCTCTCTCTCTCTCCCTCAGAAATAAACATTTAAAAAATTTAGAAATGATTGATTATAAATGTTATGGTGTGCATTTTTACCGCAATAATAATACATTAAAAACAGGTAAAATGAATTCCCTGGGAGCCCTTCCAGCAGGAGAGCAACGGCCCAAAACGGGCCACCAGGGGGCGCTGTGTAGCCATTCCCCTTCTCTCCTCCACAGAAGGAGCTGGCGGTTTCTAGAGAGGTGTAAAAAAAAAAAACAAAAAACCAAGAACACTAGAGTCTTGGAGAAAGTTAGAGCTCTTTCTTCCCTGCTCCCTTCCCCGATGGACCAGCCCCAGAGCTGCACCGCCCTCCCACCACAAACCGCTCACCCTTGACTCTGACCTCGTTCTTCCTCTGGGTCCCTTCCTTCTGTGCTGGGGACACAGTGACTGGTGGATGGAGTGTGCCCGCCCTGCCTCCAGACTGCCCAGGGGCTGGAGAAGAGGGAAAGGTGGCCAGGAGTCACCTGCCCCAGGTTATCCAAAGACGAGAGGACACCACAACGGAAATGGGTCGAGACCCCTTATCCCAGACGCAACGGCCTCAAGGTCAACCAGACCTGGGCTTTCTCTGGCTCAGCTGCTCACTGTGTATGTGGTATCACCCGAGGGAGACTGAAGTGTTTCACGAAATCCAAGAAGACTTCGTAACCCACTCTCATCAGCTTTTAATGATCCTTTTTAACAATGCAACAAACACCCATGAACTCACCGCCCAAAACAAAAACTGGAATCTCGATGGCGACCCACATCTGACCACACGTCCCCCATCCCAGCGTCCTACCCCGCCACCCAAATCCTCACCCTGAATCCCATATTTATTCTTCCCGCGTTTCCTTTTCATAATGTAGTATTGCAAACACGCGTGGAGAACTTGAGTTGCTTTTAACTTTATGAAAAGGAAACCACGTTTATGTGATGGGACATTTTTCACCGGCAGTTCTGTTTCAGAGATCCGTTCATATCGTGATGTGGGGCGATGGTCCCTTCGTTTTGACTGCCGTGTGATAGTGCATTGTGAGAATTTATTCGTCTGCTCTCCCATACACGGGCGCTTGGAGGTTTCTCCATTTGGGCCACCGTGAACAGAGGCCTTAGAAATATCCTGCCGTGTGTTTCCTGTTGTAGACGGGCAAGAATTTCCCCGGGGTGCATACTTCGCGGGAGGAGGCTGGGTCCTAATTATGATTTGCACACGCTCAGCTCTGAAAGATAAAGGCAGACTGCTTTCACACTCACTCACATCCCCACCAGCGGTGTGAAGAGGGGTTTCTCTTTCCCCATAGTAGTTACACTTCATGATATACTATGTATTTTACTTGTGTGTTTGTTTCCTAGCTCTCTCCACCTGCACCCCCATGTCAGAAGGGATTTTTGTCTCTTTTTTCACTATTCTTTTCCCAGTGCCTAGAACCATGTCTGGCACATAGGAGGTGCTCAATACATATTTTCTGATTGAACAAATGGATGGCCCAAAACAAGATCTGAGGACTAATATTAGATATTATTGGATTATTATTATTATTATTATTATTAATTTCCTGGAGAAAGGCTGATTCATCTCTCTGCTTCAATCCCCTGAGTCCAGGGAAACGACCATTGGCCCAAACTACTGATGCCTGGGCCCCCAGGCCACCTAAGTCAGAGCTTCTGAGGGTGGGGCTTCCCCTCCCATAATTCCCCCTGCTGGGGCTTACAAGGCCCTCCATCATGGCCCTGCCACTTCCTCTTGCTCACCCTTGTTGGTCTAAAATAACATCGCAACCCACCCACACTAAGCTCTTTCTAACCTCTGGGCCTTGGCACAGCCGTGTCCCCTCTGCTCCCCCTCCCACCCCACTTAACCACACTAAGACTCTGAATCTTTCAGGGAGTAGCTGAAAATGTCACCTCCTTTGAGAAGCCCTCCCTGGCTCCTGAGGCCTGGTAGAACCCCTGTGAGAGACCCTCATGATATCCTGAACTTGTCCTTCATGGGTCTTGCAAAATTTTGTGATCACACTTTGTATGATTCTCTGCTTCATGTCTCAGTCTTCCCCTAGACTCCGAGATGCAGGAGAGCAGGAACCAATTCTGTTTTGGTTATTCCCGTGTCTTAGCACATAGCCCAGTGTCTGCCCCATAGGCAGGGGCGAATATTTTTGGACAGATGGATATCTGAGTGGATAGATGGATAGAGTTACAGGTGGATAGGAGGAAGGAAGGAAGGAAGGAAGGAAGGAAGGAAGGAAGGAAGGAAGGAAAGAAGGGAGGAAAGAAGGAAGGAAGGAAGGGAGGGAGGAAGGAAGGAAGGGAGGAGGGGAGGAAAGAAAGATGGGAGGAAGGAAGGAAGACTCGCAGGGATGAATGTATAAATGATGGATGAATAGGACGCATGGAGGGATAGATAAGTAGATAGACGATAGATAGAGTGATGGGTGAATGGATGAACAGATGACGGAGAGAACAAAAACTGAGTTCAACTCCAGCTGCCATCCTCCTGTGCCACCATAATGGCGCGCAAGAACATCCTGGATGGTGCTCTCAAGAGCGCCAACAAGGCGAAGAAGAAAGGCAAAGCACAAGTTCCTGCCTGCCATGCTCCAGAGTCATCGTCTGGTTCTTAACCGTGAGGGTGAAGCATGGTTGTGTCGGAGAACTTGAAATCCTAGTTATCACAGAAGGAGGAAACGTGGTGAACCTCATGCGCAGGTTAAACTAAGTGCGATTGGCCTGAAACTTGATGCACAACTCGGAGATCTAGAAAAGTGGCAGAATAACGTCCTCCAACTCATCAGTTTGATCTCATTGTGCGACCTCGGCTGGGAACGTGGCCGTGAGCACGCAAGACAAAAACACGCAGAAGAGAAACCCCTGGAATGCTTTTTCGAGGGATGTAATACATACATACAATTTTTTTTTTTCCTGAAAGAGCTTGTGATTAATTGCTTTTGTCCTACTGGCTTCTCCACTGGTGTCTGAGCCACCTCCCCAGTGGATGGTGGCTCCCGGAAGGCCAAATTCCTTTCCCCTCCTTGAAATCCCTTTCTCCCAGGGTTCCCTGGGAGCAGGGCTTTTGCACTTTCGGGTTTTCCACAGCCCAGCGGAGAGGGGCCAGTAGGGCCGTGCCGCACCGGATCCTTAGCGGGATGCCATTCATTAGTCACTCAACAAACACAGAGGCAGCGCGGTGCTGTGGGAGTTGCAAAAGGATTTGGGGTTCAAACCCCAGCTCTGCCACTTCTTTCCTGTGGGAACCTGGGCAGATCATTTAACCTCTTTGAGCTTCAGGAGGTGTTTTTTTTCCCCATCTGTAACAGGAGGACGATATTCCCTACCTTGTGGGGCAATTATGAAGACTAGCATTATGTAAGTGCCAGACACATAATAGGCACTCAATAAATGCTAACCATTATGTAATGGGCACCAGCCACACCACACACGACGAATCAGACACGGCCCCTGAGCTCATGGATGTCTCCCTGTAGCAGGGACAGCACTGAAGTGGCTAATTGCGATAGAGACTGGTCACATCAAGGTAGGGGCAAAGGAACACAGAAGAAGACAGGATGAGTTCAGGAGAGGCTTCCCGGAGGACGTGGCATTCAATCAGATCTTAAAGAGCATTGTACAGTCCCAGAGTCATGCGACTGACTTGCTGCTAAATTTCCATATGACCTTGAATTAGCTGCTTCCCCACCCTGGGGTCCCCAGATCCCCTTCTGTAACAGAAAGGTTGTTGAGCACTAGCTCGGAATCTTTTGGGTCACAGGCTCTTTTGAGAAAACTCTCTGAAAGCCAGAGCCCTGCTTCCCAGAAAAAGGCACGGACACATCAGTCGGTCTGTGACGGGGGGGGGGGGGGCC